AGATTTATAAAAATGGGTTAATTTAAGATGAAAGATCAGTTAGCAAGAAGCCTGCCACGGCCATACAGTTTATAAGTGATATAAGCGTCTGAGTGGTTATTTTATAAGTGGATTGTGGGACTGTGGGGCTTGGGGAACCTCTAGAAAAGCCCTCCAGCAACAAGGTCTGATCACAAGATGCTTTGCCGTGGGGCGTGGTCACCAGGTGTTTTGAAGGGTCTACTCTTGGTTGTATGCTGTGCTTTGATCTTGAAAGGGGGAGGTCTTTTGCCTCTCCCCTTGCTGGTATATAAAAGGCCCATTAGACCTAAACTCGAGGCTGCTGGGTCTTGACCCAGGGTCCTCCCAAAGCTATCCTGGGTTTTCGTCTTTTCTCTCTGTCTATGTCTATATTTCTTCCTATTACTTCTCAATTCCCCACTCTCTGCTTCAAGGGACCCTTTGCTAGATTGGGGCTGAACCCCAACACTGGACTCTGACAAAACTCATGGAAAGTCTGAATAATTTCTCAAGGTCACCAGGTGGAGGCAGAACTGTGTCTCGAACCCTTCTCTGTATCCCAGTTTCTTGGCTGTGACTCAGCTGCACGATGTCTCTGCTTTGGCCTGTCACAAACCTCTTTCTCCTAGCCACTAGAATTCTTTCTTCACTAAAGGCAAGGACTTTAACTTGCCTGTTCCTGGTAGAGGAGTCAGCAACGCATCCTCGTAGGCCAGCTCAACACCAAAGAGACAGAAGGAACCCTTGGTACCCCCGAAAGGACTTCTGATCCTCCCATAGAATGATGGCATTCAGAGACACAGGGGCCCAGAGGACCGGAGAGAGGCTTTGTACTGTATTTCATTTCACAAACACAGTGAAAACAAATCCTGCTAATAGGATTGCAGACTCTGCAGGCCTAGGCAAGTCATTCTAAGGAAATAGGAAGCATCTTGACACACCTGGGGATTGATCGCACGTCTGAGACAATGACAGGCACCCAGAAATTAATCAGGAGAGCTGCCTGTCACTAAAGAGAAGGGTGGAGGCAGAGTATGAGGCTTCTGGTTTGGGGACTAATTCTCTTGCTCTCCCATGGCTCCCAAGAATGAAGAAATTTCTAGGATGCTCTTCATAGTTTTTCAACCACACCAGACCTTCCCCAAGGACAGGGAATTCAGCTGACAGCAAAGGAGGACTTCCCCTGGTCCACATGTGACACACCTGTGGCCCTATGGCTTTCCCTGTGCGACTCCCTGAGGAGGCGCTGTGTCTTCCGGACCCGAAGAGCTCATTCTTCCAATCTTGGCCTGGTCTGTCACCTGCAGCTCTAACAGGGCCAGCTTTGGCGTTTCTCTCTGGATGCTCCGGCAGATTTGTCACCCTGGACTTCTTATCTTTCACTTTTGCCACAGCCTACTGTGGTAGGGAAGCTGGGAATGAGCAAGCCGGGGACCCATGGAGCTTGCTAGATGCGCTGAGGAAATTGGGGGGGAGGGTGTAGGCCACCTATGCCAAAGCACTTGTGTGGCTCACAAGCTCTGGATCTTTCAAGTCCCCACATTTCTATGTAAAGAGATCTATTACAAGAAGCCCACCAGAGATGACCACTCAGGCACAGTTTATGCCCAATTGGAAGTCTTTATTCCACCCAGCTGGGACTATACTCAGGTATTTGGGACCAAGTGTTGTGTTTAGCGTAAGGGGTTTTTAAAGACAAAAACCTCATCCTGGTATCTTGCTTGGCAGTTGCAGGGGGAGGTCTTAGGCAAGCAAGCTGTTTAACAGAAGCTAAGTTAGCTGTGGCGTCTTGACCTTGGGTTCCTAGAATAGAGTTGGGTAATTTTTCATGGCATTCTCCATCAAGGAAATTGAATTCTAGTTAAACCTAAAATGGCCTCAGCAAGAATATAAAGATGGAAGACTCTCTTCCATCTTTCCCTGTCCAAGATCCACGAATATGCCGGGCGATGGTGGCGCACGCCTTTAATCCCAGCACTCGGGAGGCAGAGGCAGGCGGATCTCTGTGAGTTCGAGGCCAGCCTGGGCTACCAA